CCAGAGCGACTTACAGTTAGTGAGTGCATATTATTTTTTTATTTTTTTATACTGGCCCCCCGTGGGAATCGAACCCACAACCCTGGCGTTGCAAACGCCATGCTCTACCAACTGAGCTACACGGGACTAAAGCAAAAACACCTTTGGCAGCGATTACAGCTTTGAGTATTCTTGGGTATGATGCTACAAACTTGGCACACCTGTACTTGGGCAGTTTCTCCTATTCTTCACTGCAGATCCTCTCAAGCTCTGTCAGGTTGGACAGCTATTGTCTCTCCAGAGATGTTTGATCGGGCTCTGGCTGGGCCACTCAAGGACATTCAGAGACTTGTCCCGAAGCCACTCCTGCGTTGTCTTGGCTGTGTGCTTAGGGTCGTTGTCCTGTTGTAAGGTGAACCTTCGCCCAAGTCTGAGGTCCTGAGCACTCTGGAGCAGGTTTTCATTAAGGATCTCTCTGTATTTTTCTCCATTCAGCTTTCTCTCAATCCTGACTAGTCCCCAGTCCCTGCCGCTGAAAAACATCCCCACAGCATGATGCTGCCACCACCATGCTTCACTGTAGGGATGGTGCCAGGTTTCCTCCAGACGTAACACTTTGCATTCAAGCCAAAGAGTTCAATCTTGGTTTCATCAGACCATAGAATCTTGTTTCTCATGGTCTGAGAGTCCTTTAGGTGCCTTTTGGAAAACTCCAAGCGGGCTGTCATGTGCCTTTTACTGAGGAGTGGCTTCCGTCTGGCCGCTCTACCATAAAGGCCTGATTGGTGGAGTGCTGCAGAGATTGTTGTCCTTCTGGAAGGTTCTCCCATCTCCACAGAGGAACTCTGGAGCTCTGTCAGAGTGACCATCGGGTTCTTGGTCACCTCCCTGACCAAGGCCCTTCTCCCCTGATTGCTCAGTTTGGCCTGCCGGCCAGCTCTAAGAATAGTCTTGGTGGTTCCAAACGTCTTCCATTTAAGAATGATGGAGGCCACTGTGTTCTTGGGGACCTTCAATGCTGCAGAAATGTTTTGGTACACTTCCCCAGATCTGTGCCTCGACATAATCCTGTCTCGGAGCTCTACAGACAATTCCTTTGACCTCATGGCTTAGTTTTTGCTCTGACATGCATTGTCAACTGTGGGACCTTATATAGTCTGGTGTGTGCCTTTCCAAATCATGTCCAATCAATTGAATTTACCACAGGTGGACTCCAATCCAGTTGTAGAAACATCTCAAGGATGATCAATGGAAACAGGATGCACCTGAGCTCAATTTCGAGTCTCATAGCAAAGGGTCTGAATACTTATGTAAGTAAATAAACATTTCTAAAAACCAGTTTTTGCTTTGTCATTATGGGGTATTGTGTGTAGATTGATGAGGAAGATTTTTTATTTAATCAATTTTAGGATAAGGCTGTAACGTAACAAAATGTGGAAAAAGTCAAGGGGTCTGAATACTTTCCGAATGCACTGTATTAGTGTTTTATTATTCATTAATCTTTAAAAAATTACTTTATAGAATATTTAGTGTAGATCATTGACAATTATTTTTAATTAAATCAATTTTAATCCCACTTTGTAACACAATACAATTTTAAGAAATCCAATGGTGGTTGAATATTTATGATATCCACTGTAAATGATTAAATAAAAACTGATGAAAAGCTCTTTCTATTCAAACTGCCCTTAGGGAAGATGGTATCTCGGAACTGTCAGCCTACCTATTGGATTTCAGTCTGGTGACATATTTCAAGGAAAATACAAGATGAGAAAGATTACACTCTATGATATCATGTGTTAAAAATACTGCCTAGCCACCATTGTCTCACACTCCCATTCTCCTCAAACAATTTGAATTGTGCAGTCGGTGGCTTTTTTCCTGTGCCTGAGCTACAAAGTTAACTTAGGGTAAATTGTAACTACACTCACTATATATCAAAAACTAAACCACCGTCTCTTGTACAGTGATGCTCACCCACCCCCAAATATTAGTTAATTCAAGGGAGAGAAAATACACAGAACAAAAGTATAAATGCAACATGAAACAATTTCAAAGATTTTACTGAGTTACACTTCATATCAGGAAATCAGTCAATATAAATACATTCATTAGGCCCTAATCTATGGATTTCACATGACTGGGAATACAGATATACATCTGTTGGTCACAGATACCTTAAAAAAAAAGGTAGGGGCGTGGATCAGAAAACCCGTCAGTATCTGGTGTGACCCCCATTTGCCTCATGTACCGAAACACATCTCCTTCGCATAGAGTTGATCAGACTGTTGATTGTGGCCTGTGGAATGTTGTCCCACTCCTCTTAAATGGCTTTGTGAAGTTGCTGGATATTGGCGGGAACTGGAATACGCTGTCGTACACGTCGAGCCAGAGCATCCCAAACATGCTCAATGGGTGACAGGTCTGGGGAGTGCGCAGGCCATGGAAGAACTGGAACATTTTCAGCTTCCAGGAATTGTGTACAGATCCTTGCGACAAGGGGCTGTGCGTTATCATGCTGAAACAGAAGGTGATGGCGGCGGATGAATGGCATGACAATGGGCCTCAGGATCTCGTCACGGTATCTCTGTGCATTCAAATTGCCATTGATAAAATGTAATTGTGTTCATTGTCAGTAACTTATGCTTGCCCATACCATAACCCCAGCGCAACCATGGGGCACTCTGTTCACAACGTTGACAGCAGCAAGCCGGTTGCCCACACAACGCCATAGACGCTGTCTACAGTTGAACCCGGGATTCATCCGTGAAGAGCATACTTCTCCAGCGTGCCAGTGGCTATCGAAGGTGAGCATTTGTCCACTGAAGTCGTTTACGACACCAAACTGCAGTCAGGTCAAGACCCTGGTGAGGATGACGAGCACGCAGATGAGCTTCCCTGAGACGGTTTCTGACAGTTTGTGCAGAAATTCTTTGGTTGTGCAAGCCCACAGTTTCATCAGTTGTCTGGGTAGCTGGTCTTAGACGATCCTGCAAGTAAAGAAGCCGTATGTGGAGGTACTGGGCTGGCGTGGTTACACGTGGTCTGCGGTTGTGAGGCCGGTTGGACGTACTGCCAAATTCTCTAAAACGACGTTGGAGGTGGCTTATGGTAGATAAATTAACATTAAATGATCTGGCAACAGCTCTGGTGGACATTCCAGCAGTCAGCATGCCAATTGCACGCTCCCTCAAAACTTGAGACATCTGTGGCATTGTGTTGTGTGACAAAATGGCACATTTTAGAGTGGCCTTTTATTGTCCCCAGCACAAGGTGCACCTGTGTAATGATCATGCTGTTTAATCATCTTCTTGATATGCCACACCTGTCAGGTGGATGGATTATCTTGGCAAAGGAGAAATGCTCACTAAAAGGGATGTAAACATATTTGTGCACAAAATTTGAGAGAAATAATAATGTCTGGGATCTTTTATTTCAGCTCATGAATCATGGGACCAACACTTTACATGTTGCGTTTATATTTTTGTTCAGTATATATATATATATATATATATATTATTTTTTTTGGAAACTCCATTTTCTTTTCCACCTAAAGGCCATAAGAGAATGTTTGAATAAAGATGACTGTCATCTGAAAGGAGTCCATTAACCTGTGTTGAATGTTGAGATTACACTGCCACTTTGGTCCATAGACTAGTGTTGAATGTTGAGTGTTGAGTTTACACTGGTCTCTTTTGTTAGGCTCTAATCTCAGCCTGTCAATCACTTCCACCTCTTCCGATGCAGAGGCTGATCCTCTCATCACAGAGCCTCTGTGGCATGTTATCTCTGACCTGCTTTCTGACACGGAAACACACACACACACCTCTGAGGAATGCATTATTTTAGAGAAGACAAAAGGGACATATGTCATGTTATAGAATTTAAACAAAAAATCTCAGTTGTTTCTCCAACCAACAACAAACTCACAGATTGTTAGAAGAAGAGAATCCATAAAGTAATGCATAAAATTCATCATGGCACATCAAATACTGATTTCAGTTACACCTTTATTGTGGAAGGACAAAGGGGGCCTGAGAACTACTCAATGACACATCACCCAAATGACCACCCTTGGCCTCCATAGACCTCATTTCCCTTCCTTTCCTTCCCTACACTCATAACACCCCTCTCCTTCTCGCTCACTTTCTCCTCCTCTAACGGTGAGAGAATGAGGGGAGAATGAGGGAAGAGGGAGGAGAGGAGTGAGTGTTTTTGTTCAGGAGGAGAAAGGCGTTCTCCTGTGTTCTCAGGATGTTGCTGTTAAAGCCTGGAGAAGTGGGCTTCCTGTCTAGGGAAACGATCAGAGAACAGACAAGGCCCTGGGGTTAAGACGCTGTGTTCCCTAAGCGGACGCAGACACTTTGTGCTGCACAGATCACCAAGCAGATTGAGGGAAGAAGGGGTTCTGTGGAACTATTTCTACTGGATGGATTTTAGAACTGTATGGGAGACGTGAGTGAAAAGACTCTCAAAATATGTTTTCTTGTGCTAGATCTCTTTTTTATGCTTTAGTTGAGTGGGTTTGACTTTGAATATCATGCACCACCTGTTGACATGGTTGTAGTTTACATGCTTGTGTAATGTTCTGATTGAATGTTGTAGAAATGTTGTAATAATGTTGTAAAATGATCCTCCTATCATCTTCATTATCCTCAGGTTTTCCACCAGGACTAGAGACACCCAATCAATAGATCCTAAGCAGAGTGAGATATTGGTGCTGGACACCCGACTCTTGGAGCTAAAAGAAACAATATGGACAGATCACATGCATATGAATTTATGGATGACTTTGATTAGAGACAACTTCCTTGGTCAAACACATCTATTTTCACCTTTTCTACCGGAATTGTGAATTAATTTAATGGATCTAAAATCCAGAGACTCTCACACCACCGTCTCTCTCTGGGAATATAGATCTGTATCAGAGGGTGAGAATAAGCACCTGTGTACTGTAGCACCTGGTTTCTTGTAAAAGGACTTTGAGGGTTCCCCCCCTCACCCAGAGACTGTTAGAGACCATGTCCAACAACAATGACAGCTGCAACCTCCCCCTGAACACCGACACACTTGGTCTCACCTACATCTACAGCATGGCCTTCTCACTGGGTCTCCCTTGCAACTTGCTGTCCCTCTGGGGACTGTACCAACTGGGCCGCTCCGGTGGGGGTGGCTGCCAGCTGGTCTACATCCTCAACCTGCTGCTTTCTGACCTCCTCCAGCTGCTCACCCTCCCCCTCTGGATCCTCTACCTCCAGGGGGCGCACCGATGGCCCTACGGCCGCCCCTCCTGCGAGTTCGTGGGCTACGTCTTCTACGTCAATGTCTACGCTAGCGTGGTGTTCCTCTGTTTGATAGCGTTGGACCGTTGCCTGGCGATAGTACACCCATTGAGTAGTCGTGGCGTGCGGACGGTGCGGGTGGCGGCAGTGTCTGGAGTGGCGGTCTGGACGCTGACCTTCCTGTTCTGTTTAGGCGGGTTGCTTCCATCGGTGTTCGACGCGGAGAGGCTGCTGTGTCTGGAGCAGTACCCCGTCAGCCTCAGATATGCCCACTTTAAGATCGCTACAGTCATCATGGGGTTCCTGCTGCCCTGTGGTATACTGGGGTGAGTGGGAAACTGAGTATGAGGAATGATTGGCTGACTCAATGTGTGATTTCATAAGGAAATAGAGGAATGTTGCCGGTACTCTGCAAAATGTATGTCCCTTTAAAGTTTTTCAATAACAATTTGTCTGTATGTGTTGATATTGGACAACCAACATTAAGTTGCTTTTATATACACATGTAGTAACTATATAAACTAGAAACACCATTGTAATAACATGTTCTTAGATGGAAAATTATGTATGGCTATTAGAAGGGTCTTGACAAATGGAAATCTTGAAAAAGAAAAGGAGAGCAGCACACTCTAGGAGCTCAGATGCAATAATTGAATATCCTCTTTCAGGTACAGTCTCGCAAAAAGAACCATTCTTGCATTCTAACTACATGCTATTCAAAGTGCTCTGAACAAATTAAGGGAATCATTCACAAACATTGGCACATTCTAAGATCCGATGACAGTATTGGTAATGTGTTTTTGGACCCTCCATTGGTTGTATTCTCGCGGGGCAGAAACCTCTGAGATCAAGTGGTTAACTCTGATTTACCACCCCTAAATATCCCTGCACAACATCTATTTGCGCCTCTACCGGATGGAAACTACAAGTGTAACGGCTGCGCTCAATGCAATGGCACTTAGAAATGTAGATCCTTTAAACACCCCCAAACAGGGAAACAGATCCCAATCAAAGGTGTTGTCACGTGCTCCACTAAGGCAGTTATTTATCTTATAACTTGTCCTTGTGGTAAACATTATGTGGGTAAAACAAAGCTCGTATTAAAAGTACGAATCTCTGAGCATCGTAGCACCATTAGGTGCAAAAACTCGACATACCCAGTCACTGCCCACTTTTTGGAAGCGAACCACTCGATTTCGTCCCTACGTTATATCGGCATCGAACATGTCACCCTCCCTAGGAGAGGGGGTGACCTCGACAACTTATTGTTAAAACGAGAGGCTGCCTGGATCTTTAATTTAAAGACCCTTGCTCCCTTCGGTCTCAACGTAGACTTTGATTTGAAACCATTCTTACATTTACATCATTTAGCAGACGCTCTTATCCAGAGTGACTTACAAATTGGTGTATTCAACTTATGATAGCCAGTGGGACAACCACCTTTTTTTTAATGAGGGGTGGGGGAAGAAGGATTACTTTATACTATTCCAGGTATTGCTTAAAGAGGTAGGGTTTCAAGTGTCTCTGGAAGGTGGTCAGTGACTCCGCTGTCCTGGCGTCGTGGGGGAGCTTGTTCCACCATTGGGGTGCCAGAGCAGCGAATAGCTTTGACTGGGCTGAGCGGGAACTGTGCTTCCATAGAGGTAGGGGAGCTAGCAGGCCAGAGGTGGATGAACGTAGTGCCCTCGTTTGGGTGTAGGGTCTGATCAGGGCCTGAAGGTAAGGAGGTGCCGTTCCCCTCACAGCTCCGTAGGCAAGCACCATGGTCTTGTAGTAGATGCGAGCCTCAACTGGAAGCCAGTGGAGTGTGCGGAGGAGCGGGGTGACATGAGAGAACTTGGGAAGGTTGAACACCAGACGGGCTGCAGCGTTCTGGATAAGTTGTAGGGGTTTAATGGCACAGGCAGGGAGCCCAGCCAACAGCGAGTTGCAGTAATCCAGACGGGAGATGACAAGTGCCTGGATTAGGACCTGTGCCGCTTTCTGTGTAAGGTAGGGTCGTACTCTGCGAATGTTGTAGAGCATGAACCTGCAGGATAATCTTGTGATTATTGTGATTTTGCTATTCATTGTAAAAGTTTGTGGGCCTATGTAGCCAAGTTTTATCTATGATCGTATGCTATCCATGTTTTTTGTGTGTTCTGTTTAACTGTGAATTAACCAATGCTATTAGGCCACACCCGGCCATGATTACAGACACCTGTGTGTGTCCTTTGACACTATATAAACTAGTGATCCGCAGTGTTTGTCATTATACCCTGATGAAGACAGCTTGTCTGTCGAAACGTTGGTTATTAGGATATTAAATTATTGCATCTGAGCTCCTAGAGTGTGCTGCTCTCCTTTTCTTTTTCAAGTGTTTTACTCAGTTAGCCAGCACCTCGCTTAAATAGGTGTGCGTTTCTTTCGCCTCTATATTAAATGGTCATATCTAACATATTTATCTGATACAGATGACCTTTGACGTTGGCCTTTGTATTTCTCTCGCTTTCTTCAGTTACACCTCCGTCCGCATCGGGGTGACCCTCCAACAGTCGCCCTCCGTCTCCGACCAGGACCGTCACAAAATCACTGGCATCCTTGTCGTCATCACAGTCATCTTCATCGTCGTCTTCGGACCCTACCATCTGGTCGGGGGGTACCGTTTCGTCTCCCTCCTCCTCATAGACGACCCCTGCGAGTTGGAACAGTCCATTTTCCTGTGCTACCGGCTGTGCTACGGTCTGACCAGCCTCAACACCCTGCTGGACCCTCTGTTCTACATCTTCCTGTGTCACGACGCCCGTCTGGAGCTCCAAAGGTCCCTAATGCCCTGTCTGGGACGGGGGCACACAGCCCCCAAACAGGTCAGACTTAGTCTCAGAGGGCATCCTGATCCGAGTGACAGTGTGTAAAGACCGGATTGGATGAACGGTTTCTTTGATCCTGAATGAAGAAAGAACCTGGATAAACTGTGTTATGTTTCCTGTTCTTTGATGGACATACAGACAGTATATTATAGTATATTATAGTGTTTTATTGGACTTGCTCAAGGAACTGACTCCACTGGTTTGACTGCTGAGCATTGGTGATGGAAAAAAGCAGCGATTGTGCCACCCAGTGGGGAGAGCATATATGTTGCTAGCTGAAATTTGAAATTGCCTTTCATCAGCTTCACTTTCCTGCTGTGCCCGTCCTCTCTACCTGTTGATGCACTGCCATAGCTGCCTCAGTTACTACTGCCATGTGAATGTACTATAACAATAATGTAATAATGTCAAATATGTCTCGACTGTTTGCTTGTTATGATTTTATACTTTAATTTGCTTATTGCAGTAAATAACATCAATTGAAATATATTCCTTAATTACAGATATATCATTCCAAAAAAGTGTATACCATCCTCAGCCAATGAAATATACCAACACACACATACAGAACCAAACCATTCCTCGCAGCTGTTCTCTCTTATTCAGTAGAGTAAAAAGGTTGCCCAGTTTCAGAGCAGAGGTTTGAATAATTGGATGCCAGTTGAGTCTCAGTTCACTGGTAGAGCTGAAACCGAATGACCATCATGCAGTTTTGTGGCTTGTGGTTTATTTTAATGTTCAAAATTGTCTGTCAAGGCTGTACTACAAGACCATCAGAAATATAGCAGATGTATTTAGCCTACTCGGAATGGGTACCGTAAAGAAACTAGCAAGCAAATATAAAAGCATACTAGCGCATAGCTGAGTCTATACTTTACAGTTCACATTGCTCTACATTTCACTAGATTGAGCACGCTATGGAAAGCATTGCAAAAACACACTAAATATGTCCTTTCTGCGTGTATGCTGTACATAATACTGGTTCAAAAGTCCATGACATATCAATGAATCATGATGTATCCCACAGTTGCAGAACCTGGACCGGAACCAAATTTGACAGAACACCTCCCCCTCAGAATTTCTCAATCAGCAGGGTGTGGCTTCTCCTGCTCCATCTCCTCCTCCGCCCTGGAGTCTCCTCCTCTCAGGCTGGGGTTGTTGTTGTGGGACCTCATCCCCTTCAGCAGCAGCTCTGAAGCACTGATAGAGGAGTGTTGGGTGCTGCGTCGCCGTGACAACTCCCCTAGGTCTTCCGCCAGCACGGTCTCCAGCACCGCTCCCAGAGATTGTCTGATCTTACCGCACAGGTCCGGGCAGCTGAACACATAGAGGATGGGGTTTAGCACACTGTTGAGGAAGGCTAGACTGGCGGATTGGGGCAGGCCGCTGGCCACTAGGGCCCGGAGGGAGGGTTGATACTGGGCTACAGCTTCCAGGACGCTGAAGATGTGGTACGGAGCCCAGCAGACCACAAAACTCACTACCACCGCTACCACTAGCCGCACAAAGCGGAAAGAGCGCCGGTTGCGGCCACGCCGTGCGATGCCAATGGTCACCAACACGTAGCTTCCCACAATGACCACCAGGGGGAGTATGAAGGCCAGGAGGAGCTTAGAGAAGGCCAGGGCATCCTGGCGAGCCTCACACAGCTCTCTTAGGTCAAACTCCCTAACAAGGGAATACTGGGCGTAGTTATAGTAACACATGACCCGCCCGTCACGCCGGCGAATAGTATCCCGGAACAGGTAGTATGGTAGCGTACAGAGTACGGCCAGGGCCCAGATGATCCCACACACTCTTCCAACCAGGCGTATATTCCTCCGGTTCTGGGCCCAGACGGGCTTCAGCACCACCAGACAGCGGTCCAGGGAGATGGCTGCCAGCAGGAAGGCACTGACAAACATGTTGAGGAAGAAGACGGCGGAGTGGAGCTTGCAGAAGGTGGTGCCCAGGGTCCAAGTGCCTCCGCGGGCCAGGAAGATGGTGAAGAAGGGGAGGGAGGCTGTGGAAAGGAGGTCCGAGGCAGCCAGGTTGAGGATCCAAACACTGATGACTGTGCGGCGGACGCGGAAGCCCACCACCCACAGGATGAGGAGGTTCTCCAGGATACCGAAGGAGGAGACCAGGCCGTGGAGACACACCATAGCCAGGTTCAAAGCCCCCGCTCTGGCTGAGGAGTTGTAGGGCACGCTGACGTTCACCATGGCCTGGATGAAAGGGCAGTAGACAGGGCTGCTGGAAGTGTTCATTTGTGATTCTGATTCTGACACTTTGTCCACTTCGGTTCTGAATTCCTGTGCCCAACATTGCAAAGAAACACAAGGCAAAGATGCATTAAGGATTGTAATGTTGTCAGTAGTAATGGCGATCAGGCACTTGCAGGTGATACTGTTGTGCAACTGTTGAACACATTATTAGTCATTGTGGTTTCTGTACAAGACATCTAAAACGGATAAGAGAGAGAGAGATGGTTTATCTCTCCATCTCACGCGCTCCACATCCTCTGTACTCATTGTAAACACTCTGTAGGCTCGCAATGTCTATAAAGGTGAAAGCCATCGCACAAAATCACATTCTACTACTTACCTCTTTAAATAGTGCTAACCTTTCATGTGTTGATGAAAATGTAGTCTATAGCTTTTGTGTAAGCCTAACTTTCACATTAAATACAGATCCCAAAATGTGTCTGTTATTCTAGAATTCATCTACATTGAACAAAAATATAAACGCAACATGCAACAATTTTTTACTGAGAACTGGAACATGCGGTCCTACACGTCGATCCTGAGCATCCCAAACATGCTCAATGGGCGACGTCTCTGGTGAGTATGCAGGCCATGGAAAAAGACATGGGGTCGTGCATTATCATGCTTAAACATGAGGTGATAGCGGCGGATGAATGGCACGAAAATTGGTAATTCACAGTATCTCTGTGCATTCAAATTGCCATCGATAAAATGCAATTCTGTTCGTTGTCCGTAGCTTATGCCTGCCCATACCATAACCCCACCGCCACCATGGGGCACTCTGTTCACAACGTTGACATCAGCAAACCACTTGCCCACACGACGCCATAAACACTGTCTGCCATCTTCCCGGTACAGTTTAACCTGGGTTTCATCCGTGAATAGCACACTTCTCCAGCGTGCCAGTGGCCATCGAAGGTGAGCATTTGCCCACTGAAGTCGGTTACGACGTCGAACTGCAGTCAGGTCAAGACCCTGGTGAGGACGACGAGCATGCAGATGAGCTTCCCTGAGACGGTTTCTGACAGTTTGTGCAGAAATTTTTCGGTTGTGCAAACCCACAGTTACCTCAGCTGTTCGAGTGGCTGGTCTCAGACGATCCCGCAGGTGAAGAAGCCGGATGTTGGGGTCCTGGGCTGGCATGGTTACACGTGGTCTGCGGTTGTCAGGTCGGTTGGATGTACTGTCAAATTCTCTAAAATGACATTATTATCTGGCAACAGCTCTTGTGGACATTCCTGAAGTCAGCATGCCAATTGCACGCTCCCTCAAAACCCGAGACATCTGTGGCATTGTGTTGTGTGCCAAAACTGCACATTTTAGAGTGGCCTTTTATTGTCCCCAGCATAAGGTGCACCTGTGTAATGATCATGCTGTTTAATCAGCTTCTTGATATGCCACACCAGTCAGGTGGATGGATTATCTTGGCAACGGAGAAATGATCACTAACAGGAATGTAAACATATTTGTGCAAAACATTTGAGAGAAATATGGTTTCTGTGCATATCGAATATTTCTGGGATCTTTTATTTCAGCTCATGAAACACTTTACATGTTGCGTAAAACAATTTGTTCAGTATATTTGAGTTAAACATTTAAAATGAATGGATTACAAATAAAAGCACACGTTACCTGAGAATTTTGTCCCCACTGTGAGATGCAACCGTGGTTCTTGTGCTGAGTCCACGTTGGGAGACTTGTTGAGCTGGTTGTGATGAGTGTAGTTATGATGGGTGAATATTCAAACGCACTGACGCACCTGCATTCCCACCTACTAATCAGTTAAACAATGGGATGAAAAGCTTGTGACAGATTAAAGACAAAGATCAGTTAATTTCCTCATTCCTCACTGTAACCTTATGGTTTTGATTCCCTCTATGAATCTGTCTCTCTCTGTGTCTCTCTCTCACACATACACAGTTTCTTGGTAATGTTGATGAAGAGATTATTGAAGACCACAGAAAGACACTACTGCAATATTAGTGTTTTTTTTCTGGCTGTGTTGGTCGCTATGATTGGTGCGGAAACTTCAAACCTGAGTAACCCACGGTTTGTTTAAAGTTTCACGTTTTAATGTCACGTGCACAAGTACAGTGAAATGCCTTTCTTGCAAGCTCCAAACCCAACAATGCAGTAATCAAAATCAAATGTAGCACTAAAAATAACATAAGGTAGAACAAAAACACACAAGAAATAAAAGTAAGAAGAACATGAGAAAGTAAGAAGTTATATACAGGGTTAGTTCCAGTACCATATTTACAATGTTCAGGGATACTGGAGTGATAGAGGTACATATGTATAGTGGTAAGGTGACTAGGCATCAGGATATTTGATCAACAGAGTAGCAGCAGCGTATATGATGATTGTAATAATATAATAATATGCCATTTAGCAGACGCTTTTATCCAAAGCGACTTACAGTCATGCGTGCATACATTTTTGTGTATGGGTGGTCCCGGGGATCGAACCCACTACCTTTGCGTTACAAGCGCCGTGCTCTACCAGCTGAGCTACAGAGGACCACATTGTATGTGTGTGTGTGTGTATAGAGTCAGTATAAATGTGTGTGCATGTTATGTGTGTGTTGGCGTGTCAGTGTCAAATCCTGTGAGTGTGCATAAAATACAAAGGTCAGCTCAGATAGTCAGTGTAGTGTTAGAAATAGCGTTAGTTCAAATCTGGTATTGGAATAAGAGAAAACATGATCAAGAGGTATTCAATTCAAGCTACATTTATTATATGCAAATGTATATATGATAAGTATGAAGGTTCGTATACGGGCTCACTGAAATACCACGC